GTCGTGCACCTCTTCTACAAGACCATCTCCATGGGGGTCGTCCTGAAGAATAAGATATCCATGGGGTTCCTCTTCCGGCACCCAGCGCCGTGCGCATCGGGGGTCGTCGATCGTGTCAGACCCGGCGACTCGGCCGACGGTAGCGAGGCGCCCGAGTTGACCAGAGAAGACGTGGAGACGGTGATGGAGATCATTACGGGCATGCCTTGCGGCGCGGACGGTGAGCGGCTCGAGGAGCTGCGTGGCGTGTTCGAGGGGGAGGAGCCGAGCTTGGAAGAAGTGGCGGAGGCGTTCTCCGTCTTCGACGATGTGACGATGATGACGACAAGAAGAAAAGGAAGAATAATTAATCAAAGAAGCTGCCCTCCACAACTTTGATGAACTCCTTGAAATCGATCCTCCCGTCGTCGTTCTCGTCGTACGCCGCGATCATCCGTCGGCATGCCTCCAATGCCGCCCCCTCCGGGAAGCCCAGCTTGCAGAGAACACGATGCAGATCCAGGGGCTCTATGACCCCGTCACCGTCATCGTCGAAGACGGAGAACGCCTCCGCCACTTCCTCCAAGCTCGGCTCCTCCCCCTCGAACACGCCACGCAGCTCCTCGAGCTGCTCACCGTCCGCGCCGCAAGGCATGCCCGTAATGATCTCCATCACTGTCTCCACGTCTTCTCTGGTCAACTCGGGCGCCTCGCTACCGTCGGCCGAGTCGCCGGGTCTGACACGATCGACGACCCCCGATGCGCACGGCGCTGGGTGCCGGAAGAGGAACCCCATGGATATCTTATTCTTCAGGACGACCCCTGATAGGGGAAATAATGGCCGGACGACGAGGGTCCCACCTGGGCACGCTGCCTGAAGGCAATAACGCTGACTAGACCCGCGCTGACAACTCCCGCTACCGTGCAGTAACCCCCGACCTGGCATGGTTGACCACGGCAAGGTAAGGCGACGACCGGCTTCCGCCCATACCCTGCGGCAAACCATTTCTCCACGCGACCCCAGCGGCCGCGTCAGACGCCATCAGAGGCACCATGCCGCTCCAGCAGGCGGTCATGTCCGGTAATGCTAAATCCGTCTATAAATACCCCCGAACTCCCCGAAGAAAGGGAGGACTCGAAGAAAAGTATAACTCAACCCACGGAGGTTTTTCCTCCTCCAAAACCCCCTCCCCATCTTCGACTGACTTGATCGTTGGAGGGGTCGGGTCGAGCACCCCGACCCGACCTTTGTGCAGGAGCGAAGCCTTTGGAGATCGCCGCCTTTGGAGACCCAGCAGACCCGAGGGGCTTCCCCACCCGTAGACCACCGCCTTCCGGACTCGGACCAAGCCGCGACGACCTCAAGGCCACGGCTGAACAGTTACTCGATGTAACATTTTGGCGCTAGAAGGAGGGCCGGAATGTCGACTGGTCAGCGGACCCACCTTGGCGATCCCTCAACTGCGATGACGCACCTGGTCGGGACCCCGGGAGATCGTCCCTCGCGAGAAGAGCCCCAAGACGAGCGCCCCGCTACAACTTCGGAGCAATATTGGCGCCTATTCAATGACCCGGGCTTGTCTCCGCCCGACGCCACTGTCGTGCCCCCATCCGTTTCCCCCGAGGCCTTCCACAACCTCGCCCACCAAGTGAGGGCGCTGGCGGGTGTGGTGCAGACCATCGTTCCGCTCATCCCACGGCCAGCGGACCAGCCCTTGCATCAACGAGAGTCTGCCCCTCGGGAGCATGCGACGCCCCCCGGGGCCCCCCCGTCGCCTTGAAACCAAATGACCCGGCTCGGAGACCGGGAGACCGTGAGCACGCTGAACCGCCCCGAACCCGAGCGGCCACCCGCGGACTCGACCAACATCCTACAAGCGCAGCTGCACCTCTTCAACCAACGTCTTAACGAGGTACAGCAAGAAATCCGCAGGTCGAAAGGGGAGCCTGGAACGGATGGATACCAAGGGTCCCCATTCGCAACCGAGATACAAGATCAGGCCATCCCACCGCACTTTCGGCTCCCATCCCCGGACACCTATGACGGTGCCACCGATCCTGCGGATCACGTAGCCGCGTTTCGCGCCCAAATGGCGCTATACGGAACTTCTGACGCCCTGATGTGCAGAGCTTTCCCGACGACCTTGAGAGGACCGGCCCGCGCGTGGTACGGCAGCCTCAAGGCGGGAACCATCTCCTCCTTCGACCAGCTCGTTCAGGACTTCGAACTCAACTTCCTCGCTTACGCCCGCCCGAAGCCATCCGCGGCGCTGCTCCTCGGACTCAACCAAGGGGAAGACGAATCCCTTTCCCGCTTCTTGGACCGTTTTACGACGCAGATCCGAGGGCTCTCGGACGCTCATCCTTCCCTATTAATGCAGGCATTCATGATAGGCTTGCGGCCCTCCAGGTTCTTCTGGTCCCTAGTGGAGCGACCCTCCACGACTGTGCCCGAGATGCTTCAGAGGGCAAGCCAGTTCGTCGTTGCAAAGACATGGATGGCCGGGAGACCCAGGGAACACAAAAGGACCAAGTCAGAGCCGCCCCGATAGCAGCAGCTTGCAACATCCCGGCGTAAATCAGACAGATCCGACCCACCGACTCTGAGGTCCCCTCCCCCTACTTTGAATTCATCCCGAACAGATATATTCCTTCATATAAGGGAGAAAGGACTGCTCAAAGAACCCTACCCGATGAGCAACCCCCGGGCGTTGGCAGATCAATCGAAGTACTGTCGCTTCCACCGGCAACGGGGACACGACACTGAACAGTGTCGGGAATTGAAAAGACAAATCGAAGAGCTCATCCGCCGGGGGCACCTCGATTAGTATCTCCGCCACGCCCGGAGGGGCCCGTGGAGCGACACATCAACGTAATATCGGGCAGCCCCGCATCCGGGGGGGACTCCATGGCCCGAAAGAAGGCGTACGCCCGAGCCGCCTCAGTTGAAGCCCCCAGACACGCGCCCGGGCCCAGTATCACCTTCCCGACCGAGATGCCTGAACAGGCCGAACACGACGATGCGCTCGTGATATCAGCCAGGGTCGCCAACGCATAGGTAAAAAGAATCATGGTCGATACCGGGAGCTCGGCTGACATACTATACTTCGACGCCTACCAAAAGCTCGGCCTGCCCAGAGATAGCATGAAGCCGGTGTCCTCGGCACTCACCGGCGACTCAATCTCGCCACTAGGGGCGATTACTTTGCCCCTGACCCTGGGAGTTCCGCCGAGGTCAAGGACAACGATGACCACCTTCTTGGTCATCGACCTCCCCGCTGCATACAACGCTATCCTCGGCCGGCCGACACTCAACAAAATCAGAGCCGTCGTCTCGACCTACTATCAAACCGTGAAGTTCCCGACCCCCGCAGGGACCGGAGAGACCGCAGGGAGCCCTCGGGAGTCCCGACGTTGTTACTTGACCGCCGTCTCGTTACCTAAGAGGCCCAGGGCCGAACCACCACTGGCGGACCATCGAGAAATACAAAAGTCGGCTCCCCACGTCGGGCCGAGGGGAACCACTGTCGCTGTACCGCTACAAGAAGACCGCCCGGAGCAGACGATCAGGGTCGGGTCAGAATTGCACGAGCAAGAACGAGAACAACTCATCGGCCTCCTACAAGAAAACGCTGATGTCTTCGCTTGGTCTCCCTCTGACATGACAGGCGTCTCCCCGGAAGTTGCCCTGCATCACCTCAGTATCTCCACCGATGCTCGCCCGATAAAACAAAAGCTGAGGCGGCAAGCCCCGGAACGGCAGATAGCTGTACGAGAAGAAGTAACCCGCCTCTTGCAGGCTGG